TTGTTGTTCGACTTGCACATCTGGTGCCATGGGTGCCCACGCCATTACCGTGGGGCTATGTTTCCAAAGGTTGCCAACCTCATCCATCATCGCTCTTTAAGGTGGAACGAGTGCGTGATTCCATTGCAGGACGGGGCGAGCCATGCAGGCTACGATCCTAAAAGGACATGGGGTACCTTGAAATTCATCAGTGCGAACGACAAGTTTAAAAAAAATTGCTCTTCGGCAACCCATTGCTGTCGTCGCTTAGCCGCTTCAGGCCATGATGATTTCAGCCTACATTCCGCGAAATTGGACAGCCTATCGTCCCATCTGCAACTTGGACGGCCACGCCGGCGACGTGGTTTTGTCACAAAGTTCAGCTTCCAATCGTCCAGCGGGCTCCAAGAAGCCGCCAAGATCGGCCACTTATTAGTTTTGGAAGCAAACGACGTCGCCAGCCGAAATTGTCTCAAGTACAAACGGTCTGTCCAAAGTTGCATTGGATGAAGTTCCATAGTTGTTTCCAATTTTTCATTCATTCGCCGCATGTTGGCACGCCAGTCTTCTGCACTGTTGCGAGGCCAGCCAATGATTGATCTCAACATACGCCTCTGTGTGCTGTCCAACCTGAACAATTGCCGTTGTGTAAGTGGCAAGGTCACCAAACCGAATAATACAGCAGGGGTGACCACTGCATCAAACATCTTCAACCGGAGGGCGATGGACACATATCACCCACCCCTAAAAATGTATTTTAGGGGGGGGAGAGGTTGGGGAAAAAAAATACATTTACCGTTCTCCAAGAATTTGATTCCCCAGGACCCCCCCTAAATACATTATTTGACCGGTGGGTGTACGTTAAATGTAGGATCCATGGGTCGGGATATCCAACCCCCCCCAGGATCTTTTATTTTGGGGGGGTGGTTTAATACATTTTACGGGTTTGGTTTTTCCAGGATCCCCGGGAATGCTTAATTTTTTTCTGGGAATACCCTTCTTTGAAAAATGTATTTTAAGGGGGTTGGGTAGCCGAAAAGCACATCTTTTTTGGAAAATGGAGGGGATAGATCTGGCTAAGGTAGTCATTGGTACCCCCTGCAACGCATACATTTCAGAATATTTAAGATCAAGTATATTTCAGCATCCCCCTTGGAATTTCCTCTACAGAATCGGGAACGTTACTTCCTGGAAAATGGTGCATTTTAACCCCCTGACTTAATAAGGGGTACCTACCCAGGTGTCAACGCTTAGTGTCAACGGTTTCAATTTTATAGAGGACCTTGGGGCCTCTAATTCTATAGAGATTTCATGTTGAATACAGCACTGAGGACTAGTCAGCAGAGAGTCTTAGGGACTGCGATTCTACAGTGGGATACGTTCTCTTTGGATGTATGTCATGTTCTTCAATTTTATAGAGAAGCATTGGCAGAACCAATTTCCCACAACAATTCTTTCATCATCCTTCATCATCCTTGATCATCCTTGTATATTTTGGAATCATTTGGAATCTTGACATATTTTTGGAAACTTTTGGATACTTTTGGGATATATTGGAGATTTGTTGGAGATCTTTCATCAGGGTTTCATCAGTTATCATCAGTTATATTCAGCAAATATGTACAATTTTGACATTTCAATATCTCACAAAAGCAGTTTTTTCTTGTTTACAAACTATAAAAGTGACATTTTTCATTTTGCATCATTTTTCCGTTGTGTCTCCCCGTTGTGTCTCCCCTTTCTTTCTCCCCGTTGTGTCTCCCCAGTGTGTCTCACCGTTTTTGGGTCGAAGTCCTCGAGCCAGCCTTTCCGCCTTTCCGCTAAAAAAGAGCAAACGGATGGAAACAGATGGATACACATGAAACAAAATGAAACAGAGCGACTTTCAAGATCTTTGAAATTGAAGGGGTTGACAGTGAACACTTGGAGCCTTTGAACTCTATAAATTTGGGAGTGCATAAGGCAAGCTAGGCAAGAGTAACTGGAGCATTCAGGTCAGCTGTCAATGAAGGAGACTTGGGGAACCTGATTTTATAGAAGGCCAACTAACCCCCCCAACCATCTACGAGAGTGACTTGGCGGCATCGATTCTATAGAGATTGTCAACTTGAAAATACCTTGGGGTCTCTGATTCTATAGATGCATTTTCAGAAAGAGGGTCAGGGCCTCCCGGATTATCATTATAAAATTGTCAACACCAACACTCTCACTTAATTCAAAGGGGGATATTTCAGCCATTTTATGGCCCATGGGTTTCAGTAGGTTTCCCAGGAAAAAAAGATCAATTGGATTGAGGTGCAGACCCCCCCATGCTTGCATACATTTAGAAAAGTTTATGTATCCATTGGCTCTTGTCAGTGGTGCCCCCCACAAAGCATACATTTTCAGGTTCAATACCCCTACCAATAATACATTTCCAGCATCTGGCACTCATACATGCCTCATTTTGAGGGGTTACCCCCCCCCTAGTTCCCATACATTTTTGGCAAAAAGTGAGGGGGTTAACCCCCCCCCTTATGTTCATACATTATCAGAAATGTAGGATCCACCCCCCCTACTCCTGAACCAGTTGGGGTCGGGGATGGACACATCTTTGTTCAAAAGGACCGTCTGGTGCTGGTGGAACCTACCCCACGCCGCCTGAATACGCGCAGCAAAGTCAACAGCGCTCCTTTGCGTCACATCACCACTGAGTTTCCTCCCCAAGTACTTGTGGGTGTCACCGCCGGTCAGCACTTCAACCCAAGCATTTCCAATTTCGACATGCTGAGGCACGCGTTCGTTGCTGTCAGTTGTCAACAATTTCGTTTTTGAAACGTTGAGGTGCAAACCAGCCGCTGCGAATTCTTCTTCGATCATTTGAACCATCTGAATCATTTCAGTCAAAGATTTTGCAAATAACATGAGGTCGTCTGCGTATCGAATGTTTGTTAGACGCTCCGATCCACCAATCATTATACCATGGCCGGCCAATCGAAATTTCCACGAACGAAGAGCTTGCTCCAACCCTGAATTAAACAGCAGCGGGCTGATGATGTCACCCTGCTTCACTCCCCGGTTCAGTGTAAAGTCCTTACTGCCGTGAACACATCCTGTCTGGTTGTGATATAAGGCGGCCAACAACTCCAAATATGCGTCATGAACGCCTTGTTGAGATAGGGCTTGGAATAAAGCGTCATACTCGATTTTGTTAAAAAAAAAATCAAATTTAAACTAGCGAACCAGAATCCCAAGTTCCACTCCACAGACCTGCCGCAAATGGATTCAAACACGGCTAAAGCATCGTCCACACCAGTGTTCGGACGGAACCCCATTTGATCTTGAGATTGTTCGTGATCCAAGCAGTGCCTCAAACGCATGTACAAAAGACGAGGAAAAATTTTGTATGATATCTTCAAAATCGCAATGGGTCCCCAGTTGTTCGGCAATGACCTGTCACCATTTTTTGGCAACATTGTGAAAATAGTGTGCTGCCACGTTGGCTCGCAACGTCCTGTATCGAGCATGTTGTTGTATAGTTCCAACAAAGAATTCATCAGATCCGAATTTCCGTGTTTGAACATTTCTGCTACAAGTCCATCTGCGTCTGCACATTTTCTGTTCTTCAGTTGCCGCATCACCCGTTGCAGTTCCAACATTGTAAATTTAGGAATGTCAAAACGGCATTTATGCTTCACTGAATTTAACAAGGACTGAAGGTATTCCGTGCCAAAACCCGCATTCGAATGGAAAATGTCCTCCAAAAACTTTGCCAATGACTCTGGCGACGGGTCAGTGTCGCGAGCCTGGCTCCTCGAACGAACAGGGTCCCTGTGCAATTCATCCAAACGGCCCAAGTCTTGGAATTCCTTCAAGATCATTTCAGTTTTCAAATTTTGTTTTTGGCGAACATGTTTTCGCAACATCTTCTTGATCAATTTGGATAATGAAACCCTTTCAGATCTACAATGAACTGCCCGTCTTCTTAACAAAAGTGATTGAAGTTCATGGTCCGTCCGCAGTGTATCGCACATCTTGCTCGCACTGTCATCTCCTGACCTCCTTTCCGAGGCTGCCACTGCTTTCAACATGAGGTCTTCCAAATCGTGCAATGTTCGCACATCTCTCTCCAGCATTTGCTCCTTTAGTGCTTCGTGATATCCTTGCGGCACCCCGTTTTTGTTGAATGCAGGCTTCCAACCACGACGAATTTTTTTCTTGGCAGTTTTGTTCCACCGCCGTTGCTGGAGGTCAAAGCTGGCAACCACACTGCGATGATCAGATCCTAGGTCAATCGCATATGAAGCCCGAGAATCCAAAAGTTGCAAACCCGAGGAACAAAGTACAAAATCAATGCGTCGTTTCACACCCATGCAACTGCAGAATGTCCAATCGTCCTCTTCATTTGCAAGACGAAGTTTGAACGCATCACACATCTCACTCAAAAGTTCACCGCGGCGGCCACTTTCCCACTGTGTATTAAAGTCACCGCCAATGATAACAGAGCATCGTTTCCGACGTCCCTCCTCAAGAATTTCCTGCAATTGGTGATAAAATGCCTGGAGGTCTTCAAAGGGGTACCCTGCATGCGGCGCATATGCAGGAACAATCCGAATCAATCCACGATTTGTCAAAAGGTCAATATACATGAGGCGATCGGAAACATATTTTGTATATTTGACTCCATGCTTGTGGCGCTGGTGAAGCAGAATCGATACTCCAGCACATGGTGTCGGCAAATCAGAAGCAAACAGTAGGTGTGAGTCCATCAAAATGCATGACCCTCCGGAAAACCGGGTCTCACTGAAAAGAACAACATCCCATTCCAATCCATGAAGTTCGAACATTAATTCTGTCATTCGGTTGGGCTGTGTCAACCGGGCATTTTTCGCATAGACGTGAAGTATAGGCCTGCCCCCCTGCAACTCTGAATTCGGCTCTGCAAAAGTGTCATCACGAAAATTGGATCCATTCAGACCTGTTTCTGGCGGTGACGACGCCCTTTGCAGCTGTGGTGAAACTAGGCTCGGACGGAGTTGTCCCTAGGAAGCGGCCGTCGCCGCCGCCTTACTCTTCCCACCTCCTTTCCCGGATTTTTCCACGATGGCCTTGCTCCTGGAGCAAAGGTCGGCTATCTCCTGGCTGTCCTGCAGTTCTTGCCATGCGGCCCAATCATCAGCCCATGTTACTTGAATGTCCTTGTTCACAACCTCCAGCTTCACAACAACCTTGCCACCGATGACCAACCGCTCATATGTGTCATCCACAGACATCTCTTTTTTCACAAAGCCCCATTGCCCAAGCTGCCAGCGGAGTCCTAGCAGGAACAATTTGCGAGCACGAACTGGCACAGGAAGGTCCTCTGTTGCCCAGACCCGACGGTCACCAGCTTGTATGTTGGCACTCCTGAACAAAGCCACCGCCGTGTCACGTTCATATATGTGCTCCGAAATTTGGCAAAAAGCAACCCATCAAACGCAGCGGCCTTCATGTAAGTTCCCACATTCGTTGGCCCATTCATCTCTTGCAACTTCTGAGTGAGCCATTGCGTTGCTTCATGCAAAGAGCCCAATGCCTGGAGACCACCAAGTACCAAAGTCTTCTGAACATCTGGGTTTCGGTCAGCCACTCCGTGTTTCAAGGCATCAAGTTGCAGTTTCAAAGCTGCCAACTCACAATCATGCTTCTCCAATTGTTCAACATTGGTGTTGGACCTGGGGGTGCTAGAGTTGGACGTGATCACGTGTTCCAACTTTGCAATTTTGATGTCATGGTCCTTCAGGGAATGTTCGACACTGTCCAAACGTGCCGTCACGCTCACGCTCAACTGAGTCATTTGTTGTTCCAACGTGTTCATTCCATGTCTCACTTCATCCCGTACAATTTGTGCCAAGGATGCTGATGTCAACGGAGATGCAACCAACTCCGATTCCACTGGCGTTTCTGGAATTTCCTCCTCTTCATCAGTGCCATCCATTTCGTGCAGTGGCGACGTTAAACGTCTTCTTTGGGAAGGGCGGGTAGGCGTCATAGTCGTCATGGCAAAGCCCAACTTTAACCCAACAGTTCTCTTGAGCCAACAGTGCTCTTGAGCCAAAAGTGGAACAGGGCTGGATCGAAGGACTTGGTCCAAGACGGTTGGTATGCACCGCGCGTGGATCAAGAGAAGGTTTTTGAGAAAGCAGGCCAGGAGATGGGGGAAGTGAAGTTGAACTGCAAAGGAATCTAGGCGACTTGATAAGAGGATACTCCGAGTGTGCAGCAATACCGTCCGCAAACCGAAAGGAAGTACTCCTGGCGCTACTAGTCTAAGCTGGCCCCAAGAGGCGACAATGAATACCAAAGGTGCCTGGAACATCGTCACAACCTAGAGTTTTTATTATTATTTTTTGATGCAACGACCGATGCGGCGCTCTGGATGTTATATACGACTGGATTGCTTTGGGCAACCGCGGCACCTTCTGGGCCCACGCATCCCATAACATCGGCATCAAATGGGCATGCATGCATGATCTCCATTTCCAACAACAAAGACATCAAAAACCCGGCAACAGGCTGTCAGGTTCAAACCGAATTCTTGCAACATCAGAACTCCATACTCACATTTCACCTTGCCACTCAATCCTCCAGTATCTTCCAATCCATGCTGGTTGTGCTTAAAGCATCTTAAAGCATCGGGGATACCATTTCGTCTACAAAACCCAAGACAATGTGACCCCTACCTGATCCCCCCCCTTTTAATATCACCTATAAAATTCACCCGCCCGGGATCCGGGACCCAATAGGGTTTTTTTAGTTTATTATTTTTTTTCCAAAAAATATGCCTTATAAAACGAGTTTTCAAATAATTGCCTCCCCCAATGGGCCCGACATTTTATAAACGACTCTTTCTTTAGGGCTATAAAATTGACTATAAATTATCGAAGGAAGTTTAGAAGTCAAACTTCCGACAATATGGACAGATGAAAAGCAGAGTAGGGAAGAGGCATACAGAAGAGAAAGATTAGAAGAAAGAAGAGTAGAAGAGAAAGAGTAAGAAGAAAGATGCAGATGCGCGAAAGGGTAGGAAAGTCGCGATTCACCGTGTTTTTCCAATGATTTGTGGCTCCGGAGGGTCGAAAAGTAGGCTCGCTAAAGCGGCGGGTGCGGAGCCAGCTGGCCACAGGAGCGATGAAAAATTGCACGCCGTTGTGGCGCGAAGCACATTTGGAAGTAAAATGTGTTAAAAACTGAGGGTTTCGGACCACTTGTGGAAGTTGAGATGTTGGAAAAGTGCACGCCGTTGTGGCGCGAAGCACATTTCGAAATCAAAAGTGTTAAAAACTGGCGGTCTCGGACCACTTTTGAAGTTGAGATGTCAAAAAAGTGCACGCCGTTGTGGCGCGAAGCACATTTCGAAGTCAAAAGTGTTAAAAACTGGCGGTCTCGGACCACTTTTGGAAGTTGAGATGTCAAAAAAGTGCACGCCGTTGTGGCGCGAAGCACATTTCGAAGTCAAAATGTACAAAACACACCATGCTCGCGCCACTTTTGGAAGTTCGGATGTCGAAAAAGTGCACGCCGTTGTGGCGCGAAGCACATTTCGAAGTCAAAATGTGCAAAACACTAGGGGTTCGGACCACTTTTGGAGGTTCGGGTGTCGCTTCGCTTCGCTTCGGGTCATTACACTACACTATACACTCCACTACACTACAGTACATTACATTACACTACGCTCCGCAACACTGCAACTACAACTACAGAACTACACAACTACACTCCACTACACTCCACCACATTAAATTACAATACATTGCACTACACTCCGCTACACTACATTACACTACACTATACACCCCACTACACTACACTTTACTACATTACACTACACTATACACTCCACACTCCACACACTACAGTACATTACACTACACTACACTCCACAACACTACAACTACAACAACAGAACTACATACACTCCACTACGCTCCACTACACACCGCTACACTAAATCACACTACACTACATTACACTACACTAGAAAGATCGATAGATAGATAGATAGATACATAGAAAATAGATAGGTAGGTAGGTAGATAGTCAGAGAAAGAGAGAGAAAGAGTGAGAGAGATCAAGCACCTTTCAGTCCATCAGTGGCTTCGCTCTGCCATCCCGGATTCACAACAACCAACCTCTCCTATAGGTTTCCTATTTTTGAAATTTCCGCCACCGCCTTGTGCGGTACTACTGGTAAATGACTAACATGGGTTATCTCCTCAGGAGACGGCTGGGGGGTCAACATATAAAAAATGATTTCAAATATTTTTACTATATGTTTTTTTGCGTTATTAAATTATGGTTCCTTTTAAGCTTGTCGTTATAGGTTTGTCATTGAAAAAGCAGTTGGAGAACAACGCCTTATAAAATGATAGTTTGGGTAAATCTTGTGTGGAGTGGTTGTGACTAATTTTATAAGACACTATTAAATTAATTTTTGAAAAAATACCTATCAAACTTTATCAAGTTTCAGCAACATGATCTAGCATTCTATACTGTTTGAGTTTGCGGCCATCAAATCTAGAGACTAAATTCCAGCATGACACAACACGTGGGGAGGGGGTGACTTCTTTGTGGTTCAAGATCATTTCAACGCAAGGTACTCGAAGCCTATTTGTGGCACAATTCATCCCTTTCCCGCAGGCTTGCCGGCCGAACTGTCCCAGTGCCGCTATGGCAGCTGCGATAGATACGCGTACGAAATGCCAGCGCAGAGCGCAGATGCACATATTTGAGCCATAAGTTTCCTTGGATCTCTGAGGAATTCATTTCTCTACTCTGGAAGGTGAAATGCGCTAACCACCTGGCAAATTTAACCTTGTTGGGCGCCTGCGGCACAGGAGCGCCATCTTGACAATGCACGAAAAGGCAGGTATCAGAAGGTCTGTGAGACATAGCGTTGGCTAGGCTTGCACTGCATCAGCTACGTCTCGGAGCGGGGAGGAAGACGAGAAAACAAAAACAGACGGAGTAAGATGATCCATGTCCAACCAACAGTGTTGCGCCTACCTGGAAGCGCAATCCGGGCAAGCAGAAGCCGGTGCGGTTTGTGATCCTGCAAGCCTTTGACACGCAAGCATTGTTGGATCCAAGGTCGTAGGTGCATCAGATCTTGATGTTGCCATGAGCCCTTGGTGCTTGGTGAGGTGTTCGGAGAAGGGTTTTTTGGCCGAGTCTACCGGGCCCGGCGCGTCGTGCAGGAAAAACACAGTACAACAAGGGATGACAGGAAGGCATTTCAAGATAACAGTTGGATGCCCAAAATGTCAAGTTTGCCATTCAGTTTGCGCACCTTGGTGCTCAGCTGTTTGTCAAACCACCTTCATGAAAGTTCTGGTGGCGGCAACGGTTCCCAGAAGTGCCCTTGGCAAAAGGATTGGTTAGACCAATTCGGCTGATCTGCCGACGGTGTTCGGGACTCAAACCACAACGACGACCTGTTGCCGCTCTAAGATGTCATGCGCTCTCTCACATTCTTGTGGTGTTTAGCGTTGCGTGCGTTGCAGCCTTGAAGCCTGATGACCACATGTTTGGGGTTCCCTGCGGCCAGGCTATCCAAATCTGGCCACTGCGCTGGACTGGGTGCGCGGCACCACAATTTGCCACAGTTTTCCCCGCATCAGCGTGTCCAGGCTGGGTGTAGTTAGGTACTGGGGTGGACTGGGCAGGGGCCATGGGGTTCATCGCCATGCACTGCTGCAACATGCTGCAACAATGCAACAACATGTTTGCCGATTCGGCATTGCCAAACCACATGCGCATTGTTGTTCTTGACCTTGGGCTGCACCCACACTGGCTGCAAACCACAGCCTGGACATCACCCAAGTTTGAAACGAATGCCATGTTTCATCCTATTGGAGCGCCACAATGGCCACACGTCAGACTTCACGTGATTTATTTTATGGTAGCCCCATGATGTGGAATACGGATGTCGCGCTGAGACTGCGCAGTTGGAGGTAGCTATGCAGCTGCAGCGCACGCTGACTTCTGCACTGGTCGCCAACACGTCCTGCGGGATGTGCATGCAGAGGGCATCCTGATCACTGGAGAAATCGTGCGTGCACCGCGTCTCATGCTCCTGGATGCCTTCATGCAACCGGATGAGTTGCTTGGCTGCAGGTGGAGGGTGCGAAAAGGTATGCTGCGCGAATCTTCTTTATCAATCATTGTTCAGGGTTTGTGCTTCTTCGCCTTGTAGGGTCAGCATGCAGACAAACTTGCAACCTACTACCACCGCATTTGGCGCATTTTCTGCCCACACTTTCACAAGATATCATCCATGCATGTATGCATACTGCCCAAGGATCATGCATGCGTCGTTCGTGCAGCCGGCAGTGTCGACACAGAGCATCGTAGGTATTCGACACCTCAAAGCATAATATTGGGAAGGAACAAAGGAATGAACGCAGGAAGAGAGAAAGCAACGAAGCCTTGACGCAAAGAAACAACCCAGAAGAAATCAGAAGAATCTTTTTATCCAGACCCAGCCAGAACAAGAACCGCAGTGAATTTCCATGCGTGGGGCTGGTGATTGACAAGAGTCGCCAAGGAGCAAAACCACGAGGAAGGCTGCAGGCTCACACGGCAACATACCGCAACAAGAGCAAGAGCCAGCAGAATAACAAATACGGACGGAAACATGCAAAGAGAAATAAGAGAAACCAGAACAAGCGCATCAATAGCAAAACGTACAGGGAATGCAGCGACACCAACACCGTTCGACACCGACACCGAGGCCGCCACCAACAGCACCATACAGCAACAACACCAAGAAGAGCCAGAAACACAGCCAACAAGAACAGTGATATTTTTGTAAGGCGTCAACGGCTGAAAAGGCAAGCAAGAGCAACCCGTATTTTTGTAAGCCACGGCTACCCGAGACATCTCCTGCCAACAGAATATCCAGCGGAGCTCCCAACCACCGCTCCTGCTTACCCTCATGTTTGGACAAAGCTTTTGTACCTGACCCTGTCTTGCAGATTTCCGCAAACATGCCCTTAGTCC